CCCCCCCCCCCCCCCCCCCCCACTGCCTGAAGGTCAGTTCGACACCAGCAAAATCAAAATTTCAGTTATCACCCCTGCCCTCGTATAAAATCCCCGTCATTCACTTCCGACTGTTCTTATCAATCAATGCCGTAGAGTTTTTTTTTTCACTTAAGGAACTTTGTCAGTATTATTGTTTTGTTGTTGTTTTCAGGTGCAATGATGATGCCGTCCAGAGTCCTGTCCTACTTACAGATGGGCCATTTTCTGATGTTGGTCATGACCGTAGGATGGGCCTTTTCGACTTTCTTCTTCCAAGCCCTTTGCTGCACAATAGGACCACAAGGGGATTGGGGACAATTCAGCTGGAGCGACATTCTTTCGTGGTGCTGTAAGAAGACATCGGATAGGACGCCGGGAAGGGAAGAGGCAGTGTTGTTAAGAGACGAGTGCGAAGCAGACGAAAATGCCCTGGAAATGACCAGCAACAATGGTAGAAAATGTGTTGTCACCAATGGTATGCACATCGCCAGCAAACAAGTGACTTCAGTGTGACCTCACTCAATCGGCAAGCTCATTCTTTGCCATATTGTGTCAACCGCTATATAGATGACTTTTTTGCCATTGAGGCTCATCAAGGGCAAAAAGATAAATAGCTTTTATTTGAACATTTTCGGTAAAAAATAGATTCGTCGTGAGATGAGTGACTCCGGGGAGAAAAGCAGTTCTAGTTTACAAGCTGCCAAAGAACAAAACAAAAGATTTGAAGGTAGAAATTACGTGATATGGAAATTTCAAAAATTCCGGGTGTGCCGGGGTATTTTGCTGTCAAAACTGACACACTAAATATAGAAAGCAGCTCAGCGTATAAGCAAACTAAGGATAAAGGAAACAACATCTACGAAGAATTAATTCCAGTGTTTCTAAAATTCGGGGTGGGGTAAGTTTCTATGAAGTCTTAAAGTTCGAGTTAGTGCAAGAAGATATTCTACATGTAGTCTCTTTAGGCTTTTGGTTTGCAGTAATACTTCAAAACGAAGCATTCTCTTGGAATATTGCCAAGAATTTTGCATTGGTTTCCCTTATCAAGTATTTAGCTTCAACAAACTTGATTGTTTTTGCACGAACATTTAATAGGAGCTATTAATTTAATACAAATTAACTATTTAATTGAACGAGAAGTGGTGTGTGTACAACTGATTTAAAAGGGTATAAAACTGTTGACAATGATAACCAGTTGCAAATACCAATTTCATTACAAGTCAAAAACAGTGTTTTGTTCTTAAGCGTACTTTGATTCCTTTCTAGTAGAAATTATCATTAACGGTAATCTGACAAAAGTAATAAAACTGTGTTCTAGTTTTACAATGTATGTGATCCCGATCTTGTTCTTTTAGAAAGCATCAAAGTGTGTAATACTGTATCATATCAAACTTTATACCATGCTATACAAAATACAGCCAATCAGATTACAGGAAAGCCGTTGTATACTCGACGATACTAGTACGAACCTTCTTATCGTTCGCTGCGCGTATGTCGCATTGACTGTGATGGCTATTATTCAGAAACTGATACCTTTGTTTAGTTTTAATCAACGACACTGTAACGGCAACTTCTTTACAACTGCGAGTTGGATAGACTTAAAAAGTGGTTCAACTTTTATTCAACAGCACATTAATATAATAAAAACCGGTCTTTATTTACACATTTTACACCATATTAAAAATGTTATAATATTAGACTTATAAATTATTCAATATGGTAAAGCCTTGGGCTGGAGAATGATCGACGACCTTGAAACAAGGATATTATGAGATTTCTATGTAACAAATAACTTCAAAAACCCTGTTTTCGAATTGCGACTACAAAAATGCTATTTGTCATTTCACTTCTTTTTAGGAAAAGCACCTTAAAGTCCGGCGAGGAGGTGTCTAAACATAGCGTTCACGTCTTCAATGCAATTGCCTTGCATAGTTGACATGTCAACGCTAGTCAATTATTCAGGCATTTCTGATCGCATGGCAAACTCCGGCCTCAATGATATGAGGGCTGTGATGTTTACATCAAGTAGTGAGTGTTTTCAGTCCAATGTTACCGTGCAGACAGACGAGGAGTGCCTGCGAATAAAACTTAACGTTAACTTCTTTCAACTCAGCGATAACAATACAGATTCTTCCTACTGATTTCCATGCATTTCTCATATCATGGGTAAAAAGAATTTGATAACAAATCAAATTACTGATCTGTTGCTGTACAGTTCTCTTGACTACTGTATTGACATTACATGTTCATCAATGTTAGGGCTCGTTACGGCTACGTACCTGGCATTCTATCAGGTCTGATAAAATCTTGACCAGTGGTTGACAGACGAGGTGCTGAGGACAGAAGAAGAACGTTACAGTCAAAAAAGACTGACTTACTGAATGGCCGACCGACCGACCGACCGACCGAGCGAACGGGCGACCTACTGACTGAAAAATTTCAAAATAGCTGCAAACCTCCTGAGTGATGTTTGTGGAAGTAGTGCGAGCTCACTGATAAAGGGGAAATCCTTTTCGCCATCTCTATAGTGCGTAACTGAGCGGACGTGAATCTGTAAAGAAAATTCGCACACAGTTATAAATCTCGAGCACTGGACGTTAGTTAACGTGGTTCGAACATTTTGGTAATGTTTTTATCCCGTACAACAATTTCTAACTCTTACATCTCTGGATAAAATCATTTAAATGAAATATATTGAACAGTGCTTTGTTTAAATATAATTAGGCAAGTTACATTTGCGACTTTGTTTAAATTTTCAACCAAGTTCATTGCTGGGAGTAAATGAACTCAATCATGTGATTTCGTCCAGCTTTTCGAGTGGACTGAACCATTTAATATAAAATTCTCCAACAGTGGTTACTATTTGCAAAGTAATTGAATTAATCTACCTTCTCTGTTCTGGTGGGCAGAAGTCCGCCTTCATTACTGAAGAAGCCACAGGTTTAGTTCCCCGACTCAGGGGGAGGTCCTTCGTCAAGTGTTTGGCAAATTCTTGGTAGTCGATGTAACCAGTATGATTTGTATCACATCTGAAATATTAATATGTGATATGTAGCCTGGTGAGCGCAAAATCGCAGATTTGCTCTGGTAAGTGAAGGACTGACGCTCTTTAAGCCACGAAAAATTGTGTCAAAACTAAATTTCTCGTTGCCGTTAGCAACCGAGTTCAATCTTCTTTTAAGAGCTCTGTAACAATGAACAATTCAAATGACATGAACGACTTCGAGTATGAATTTCAAAACAACGATTTTTTACTCACATTTCAAAGAGTTTTTCAAACGTGTCCTGGTCCATGTCAACTCCAAGGTTTTTCAGAACGGCTCTCAAGTTATCCTTTGAAATTGTACCACTCCTGAAAAAAGATCAAACAAACCGAATATAAGAAAACTATTTTCTCGCTTTCTCTATGGCCTGGCCGATCAAAACTGAGGCAGCGTCCACACTGCGCCGGAGGAATTTCAAAAAGGGAGCTTTAATTCTCCGGTTAGGCCTACCGTCCACACTAATCCGTCACGAAAACGGGGCTTTCCGAAAACGCTCTTCAAACCGTAGGAATTTGAAAACGTCGGCTTTGCGTTTTCGTGTGGACGGAAAACATTTTGAAAGCGAAGCTTTCGAAAACGATGACGGCGTAGTGTGGACGGTGACTGTCTCACTACTTCTGACGGGAGGTGAAACAAATTGCACGCGCAGAAACAAATTACACCTGCAGAAGTAGTGAGTCAAGCCCCACTGATCCACATCAAATGTTTTCAGATTCTAGAGAACAACAGAAGTAACTATATTGTACTTACAAGCCTGTGTCAAATTCCAGAAAGGCTTTTCGCAAGTTTATATTCATCGGATCCCGTGGATTAAAGAATCTGTGAAAATAAAACATTATATAAACATAACAGTTTCTACTTCGTTAATGCATGTTCGAGTAAATGAAAAAATAAATTCTTCTTTAGAAGAGTATATCATAGTAAGGCGTTGATACCTGTGTTGACTTAACTGCTGTATGTGATTCTGAATCATGGACACTTTATCTCGTGCAGGGATGTTTGACACACTATGACTCCCTTGTTCTGCCGATTCACTGTAAATGAAAAAAAAAATACGATCTATTAATGCAGTATTGATCAACTTGAAGTTAACCGCCTTACGTAGCGTGTTTGTAAAGCTGCGTTTTCTGACGTTAGCCCGTCGTCAGGGCCAAGCGCTCTGCTAAAGTTCGAAATCATTTTTATAAACTCCCTACGAAAGGCGGCCATTAATTTACCTTTATTAACTAACTTCAAGTTGATCAATAGCTGGGGAGCTGCAACATTGCGTAAAATCTCGCAAAAATGAGATCAAGACTGCTAATGCTGACAATGATGTTTTGTTTAAGAAGAATCTCCTACATGTAACTACATCAACGCGAAGAATCGATTGAGATTTAACCGGCAATTAATGCAGCGCTATCAAGGATTTTGCTGTTTACTTTCTTCAAACCTTTCCACGTTTAACTGACCTTGGATAAACATGAGAGTATTTTTGTTCAGGGCCCTCACTTCTCCCAGCGGCAGGAAGAGATGGATCAAGGTGCAATGACGACAAGAACTGGTCATGCTGGAAAAAAAAAAAAAAAATAAGATATTGACTGTTAAGATCCCAAGGGGAACAGGAAGAAAAAGGCAAGACGTGGCTGATAGATTGCGGTTAATATAGAAATTCTCACATCTTATATCGGTTTTATCCATGCATTTTGTTCTAATACCAGTCGTGAGAATTTCACTTTTGATTCCTTGTTTCCACTGTCGCATATTAAAGAGAAACCCGCCACAATCCGGGACAAAAGTAGATAAAATGATCAAAGAAAGAACGACAGCCTAAAACGTGGGGGTGTACAGGGGGGTCAGAACCTCCCTCCTCNAAGTAGATGAGTGGGAAGGGGGACGGGAGGGGGGGGGGGTGGGGGTTTATGAGGGACAGGGGAGTCAGAACCTCCCACTTCCCGTACCCTGCTCTCCCGCTTCCCGTACCTTTATCTCCCAACTCCCGACCTCGTTCGTTCTGCCCCCGTCCCCTGTAAATAAGGAGACTCAAAACACATCCTAGTTATTTAACTGCGCAATCCTTAGACGTTTCTTTTCCTTTCTTCCTTTGTTTTCAGCCTTGCTCCTCTCACTCTAAAAAGGCTTACGCGACAAAATTTCACGACCTATGACGTAACCACTGTAAAAGTGTTTCCAATTTTACCGGAAGTAAGCCTCAGTTTTTCAGCTCAAGGGCAAATTTTCGTTTTATAGTCGGTCCAGAAGTCTCAAAGTAAGCTAATGTAAGTCAAATAACATTTTAGGTTCTTATTTTTGAAAGTATTTTAATGTTTCATAAATTAGTCCCCCTTTCTTACGACTCCCGCTTCCCGCCCTTTCCTCTCTCGCTCCCCGCCCTTTCCTCTCCCGCCTACCGCCCCCTACTCTCCCGGGCTCCC